ATCTGAAAATAGGCGTCTTTCAGGTCTAGAGAGATGAACCAGTCCCCCTGGCGGACGTGCGCGAGGAGTTTCTTGACTGTGAGCATTTTGAACGGTCTCTTCATGAGCGCTTTGTTCAAAGCCCTGAGATCTAAGATCAGCCTGAGGCCGCCGTCTTTCTTGGGAACCAGAAAATAATGGCCGTAAAACCCCGACTCGGTCATAGATGGCGGGACTCTCTCTATAGCGCCCTTCTGCAGTAGCTTGGCTATTTCTAAGCGAAGCTTGTTCATAGCAGCCGGGCTGACAGTGGATTCGAGCCGCGTGAGCGTGGCGGGCGGCGACGAAACTGTAATCGATAGCCATTCTTTATTATGCTTAAAACCCACGGGGAGATGCCGGGGATGGCTTCCCACGCTTCGCAGCATGCGGCTAGCGGTTGAATGGCGATTTCGCCCTGATTGCTGCACATAGCGGGCTGGACACTGGGTGTGGGCGCGCTTATAATGCGGTTGGCAACGAGACTTACACTCAGAGAGGAGTTTATGGGCCGTGTGACAGAGCGGGCAGAGGGGGGACGCGCACGGGCTCGTGGGCGTGTTTATGTTCTCTGCTACTGGAGCAGATAGTGCTCGCTCCGTGAGAATGGGCTCTGTGTGAGACCCGGGGCATATGGTGCTTGTGTGTATACGTGAGCACATGCTTGTGGGCACATTTTTTACACTTGAGGCTTTTATGCTCTTTTTGTGAACTCTCTGGGTAGCCATGAAAACAGCTTTTAGTCGCTCGCAAGCGGGCAGGGAAACCGGCTTGATTGTGGCGGTGAACTCTACTGTAGTCGGCGGTGAGACGGGGACTAACAGCGGGCGAAGCTTTGACGGCGGTCCGGCCGCAGCGGGAGAGAGCCGCATTTTTCTCAGCTGTGCTAGGCAGACTTCTGTTGGTCGGGCTTCAGCGCGATCTTGGGTCGAGGCCCCCGGGGAGGAGGCTGTCTGCGGCGGCTGTCAGAGCGAGAGCGAGGGCGGCCGCCCTGTCTACGCTGGGGCTGCTGAGCTTGCTGAGGCGGGCGCTGATGTGGGGTTCTGGCAGGTGGCTCGTGAGAGCGGCCTGCCGAAGAGCTAGCGCGGCGGGGCAGGAACAAGTTCATGGCCTGAGTCGCTTTCTGTACCTCGGAGAAGCGGTCAACGATGCCCGTGACGGCAGATCCGAAGAGACCGGTCGGAGAGATAGGCGCGTTGAGGAACACGGCGCGTTCTGAATCTCCCATGTCGGTAAGCGTGAGCCATAAGTGTCTCTCAGCGACACAGAGGGCGGCCATGCATTTCCCCAGGGCTTGTGCGGCGGCTTTAGTGGCGCGAAGGGAAAGGTCCGTAGCGCTTCTCAGATCCGAGAGGATGGGCGGGTTCCTACCGCTGTTCGCCATTTCGCACAAGATGTCGCTCTGGAGCACCTGGAGGACTGACATTGAATGCAGCGCTGGAGCGGCCTGTCCGGCGGCAGCATAGGCGCGGGCATGAAAGTTAGAGGTCGCTCTGCACGCTTTTGAAGGAAGCGTAGGGGAAGAACGCCATCTAGCAGAGGGCGGACAAAGATGAGCGGCGACCAGGTCCTCGACGGGCGGCATGGCAGTATAACCCTTCTCGGCGGCTCCGTCCACTGAGCGCAGCGAAGCGGACACATCGGAGCGGTTACGAGCCGAAAGAGGGGCATTCCAGGATTTCCTGAGCTCGTTGTGAAGCTCAGGCAGGAATGGTGCAGCCCGGCTGCAGGCGGGGGCCGGGCGCCGGTGCAGGAACTTCCCATCCATGTGGTTCGGTGGTTGCTCGGGGGGAGGAGACCACTTGAGACCCAGGCGGTTGACGGCCTGCGAAAGGAGGCGCGTTAGTTCCTCCTCGATGCCGGCGCGGGTCCCCGCAGACTCTTTTGTCGATGAGCCGATCGACGACCAATCCTCGCTGTCAGAAGCGTGCAGCGAACAGGAGTCTTTTTCATCCGCGGTGTCGTCGGAGGCGACAGAGCGGCCACTCGGCGGCAACTGTATGTCCGGCTGGGGCGGAGAGGGAGAGCGGTCGGTGGGCGGCGGCCCACATGGATCCGCAGGGGGCTCTGGCGGCCTCTGGGAGCGGCGTTTCTTCTTCCGCGGCGAAGTGAGAGGCGGCGCGGGAGCGGTTTTGATCGCCTGCAGTCGAGCCCGCAGGGAGGACAGAGGCAGGTCCTCGCAGTGGTCGCATCCTTCGTTGGCGAGGGCGAGCTCTGCGTGTTCCACTCCGAGACAGAGAACGCAGATGGGGTGGCGGTCTCCTTCCTCGAGTGAAGAGCGGCATGAGCCGCAGGAAATTCGAGGCATCTTTAAAAAGACGCTCGGCTCTTTTGTGAAGGAATAAAAGGATACGCGTCGGATGGCGCTAGCTTGCTGGGCGGCTGAAGGTGGCAGACGGCGGCTTCCTCAGACTCCGGAGCTTGCTAGAAGATGCCTTGTCGACGATGGCGGCTTCTTCCCAGGACAGCGGATGCGTGTAGCTCGCTGAATGATGAAGAATCGACGAACGAGCCTGGGGAAGCTACCTTTAAACACTGTAGCCACGCCCCTTTTGGCGGGCTGTGATGCAGTGAGCGAGCGCCGTCCGCTCATTGGCCGCGGACTCAGCGCCGCTCTCCCATAGGTTCGTGCATTCTCTCTGAGCGAACCAATGACCTGCTAGCTAGCCCGCTCATGGTCTGCCTCAGAAGAGACTGCGTTGACAATGATTACAAAATTAAGGAATAATTTTTTGGCTTCAACTTCTCTGCAAAGATGAATCTTTCCGTAGCGTAAGCTAGCTTACGCAATACGAGAGAACCTCTCGTAAGAGAACATCTTCCATTATGCTTGATCAAAATTCTACTGCAGGAGTATTGCAGAACATGACACTATAGTACCAGACAAGGGTTGACAAATGTGGAGTAGGCCTACTTCCCTATTTTGATCATTTCAATTAAGTTGTTTTTTTTTTTTTTTAACCAAAAGCCATCTTCTGTCAGTCTTAGGTGTACACCAAGATTTAATGGAAATATGAGTCACACTCATGATTACAATATTACATTACAGCCATGTATGCAAGTATTGTTTGTATACAGACTAATACAATGTATTTTATTATGTTACCTGTAAACAAAAATCTGATAAGTGAGGCTCTTTTTTTTTAATTCAACTGGCGATTCTTAAAAGATTCAAATGTTTTGTGCTACTTACATTATAAGTGCCTGAAATCAAACCTGAATGCATAATAACGATTCCCAAATCCATTCCCAAATTTTCGTTTGAAAACGTATTTTTTTCTCTCCGTTTTGGCCTTCCGTCCACACTGAGACGCCGTTAAGTCACCAAAAACGTATCGTTTGGAAAACGCTCTCCAAAGTGGATAAATTTGAAAACGCCGTTTTCGCGTTGAAGTGTGGACAGTGAAACCGGAGGTATTTCAAAACGATGATGTAAGTTTAGTCATGTGATAAATGTACCAATAGATATTCATGTCTATCGGTATTGTGCGTGTTATGTGTTATTCATTTTTACACTGTTGATAAAATATGTTACTTTCTATGTTACTTAATATGTGCTATTCTTCATAGCACAGTACTGCAAAGATGACAAATGTACTCACATTTGTTGTCCTGCGGCAAAACAGGAGTTGCGTTTTAGACCAAATATGGTGACTGAATGCGACCTGGATGCATCAGTGATGGTGAGATATTTTGCTAAATAAAATGATCCCGTTAGAAGAATTGCGCGATAACTTTATTTCCCCCTCTGTAACGTCTCAGTGAGCTTTTGTGAAGTTTCACGCATGCGCAGTAAAGTGAATTTAGAAGTTCTCATCCACACACTGAAACGTCAGAAAACTAGTGTGGACGGAGAGCGTTTTTAAACGAAAACCCCGTTTTCAAATGTATCCGGATTAATGTGGACGTAGCCTAGGACGCACGAGTGACGAGCAAGACTACTAAAAGCTGGGGAAGTTTAAAATGGGTCCATGTGCTCTAAGAAATAGACCTACAACACTATCAGTTCCCCATTCAGGCTTTCTCGCATACTCTCCTCCCACAAAAAAAAAACTCGTATAGGACTTAAAGAAAAAAATCATTTAAAATTTGTGCGAGGGCGTGAAGGCAATTCGTGTAAAAAAGAAAAAAAAATAAATAAATCCGAGCACTTTATCAGACGGTCTGTAACGTAACGCTGTCGGTTTTGATGGAATTGGTTAAGAAATGCTCGTTATTAATAAACCTCATTCCCTGATCTGTTAGCACACTAAGATTAGGCTACTTACAAATAAAATAGGCTACTAATATTTAAACAGAATTTGTATATACATTAAACCATATTCACAAATACATAAAATGTGATTATTTTCTAATTATCTGTTTTTTTGTAAACAATATAACGCTTATAGAATATTGGACAAGTCTACAACAGTACTGAAATGATTGAAATACATATTTACCTTGCTGATCGCGCCAAACGTCCACTTTAATAGTTGTAGAAGTACTGGAGTCACGTCAATATGAACGGGGTTGACCACTTATTTGGGAATTGGCCATGCTGTGTTGGCGCTGAACATGATTGGCTGGAAGCAGGGCGTCTATCGTTTGGACTCCTATCAGAAGCTGGGACATGTCCATATACAAACAACTTGAAAAAAAACATTTGGCCTACAACTCCTTAAAAAAACGCCTGAAATGTGAGTCATCTTACATTTTAAGGCAAATTTCTCTTACATGAGAATGATAAACAGTCAAAACTTGTGACGTGTCTTTTTACTCAAATATGCATACTAGCTACAATCACCATGAACCAGAATCATGGCAGCAGGTTTTATGATATTTGAGATAATACCAAAATATTTTTTTACCCCTAATGCACTCGTGATTCTGTACTGCTGAAAGATTGCAACAGTATCCCTAAGTATACTACAAAGGCAAACAAAACTCCTGGTCTTGATGAAGTGTTATACTTCAGAAATGATTAATAATCAAGCTTTGAATTGAATTGAAGCTTTTAATAATCCCAAACATATAAACAGTAAATATTTGACCGGGACAATTAATAAAAATGCACTTTTATTGAGAAACTTTTTAATTGTACACAAAAAAAGTTAAGAAACACAAAGGGACAAAGCACGTGACAAGATGACATCTGATGTTTCAAACAAATGCTGGTCATTGATTGCAATAAAACAGCAAGCAATAAAACAAAGGCATCAAAACTGTGTCATTGCTCAAAATCTTCCAGAACGTTCCCGATCTCTTGATCTCCTCCTCTCCCGTTCACGACCTCCACGGTTACGATCCCTTGAACGAGAGCGTTTTTGAGACCCTGACTGAGAACTAGGCCTAATGGAAAAAAATAAAATAATTTCTGTTACAATAAAATTGCCAACTACAATTAAAGTGACAAGTCTTGTCTTTGATGATGGTTTTTAGCACCTTTTTCTACGACGTCCATAAAGATCTCTCCTGAGTTCTCGAGAAATGGGTTTCAAGTGCATGAAATTACAGAAACCACCTCTAGTGCACTCCCTGTGGTGAGACGAGATACAGCACAAAACATTGCTATACACTGATTTCACGAAGCCGCTTATAATGTTTTCAATAAAAAAATAAAAAAAAATTGAAAAACTTGCGCCAACTTCAAGCATAACATTTGCAAAGGCGGACTCCATCATTTCATTTTTAAATCACTCCGTGGGACGAAAACCATAAGTGTTGCCTTTATAGGAGAGTCGCGAATGCGACGGCGTATTGTTGTGTTTAATGTGAAAATTTGTTATTCTAAAAATGTACATACATGTCTTTAATATTTTAGATTATACACAGTGAAATTAATTTATAAATAAAATTATTTCTTTATATATAATTCAGAACGTAAAAAAAAAGAAGCAGGAACAAACTATATAGATATCCTATATTGGATATTAACATCCAATTGTGTAAATTAGGGCAGCAGCTTCAGGTTGGTAGTCCAAGGCATTGTTGTCTATTACCCCTTTTCCACCTAAGCATTTTGATTTCCACCTAAGCATTTGTGTTTCGACAGCCAAAGAACCGGTTCTCGGCCAGGAAAACTGGTTCCAAAGCGGCACCAACTCTTTGCTGGACTAGAACCATTCTTTTACCACGTCATGTTGGGGGCTGGGGGCGGGTTTAGATGAACATCTTTTAGACCATAATATAGGATCGCAAAGCCAGGAGAAACATTTGCAGAAACATGATGGAGTCCGCCTTTGCAAATGTTATGCTTAAAGTTGGCGCAAGTTTTTCAATTTTTTTTTTTATTGAAAACATTATAAGCAAAGGAGAAAACAGTCACAATATAGAACAAATAAATGGAAAGAAAAAAAAGAGACAAGACAGGGCTACATATCTAATCAGAAAAGATGACATATCAAAGGAAAAGATAAAAAGACTTATTATATTTCTTATTATACATATTTCAATAGTTTTTAAAGCCTTCTTGGTACACGAGTTAGAGATAATCCCAAAGTAATGTTGTACTTGCAAGCGTTTCTAGCTAAGACGTATGGCGACGTACACAGTGACGTAACAACGTCGTTCCCTGGGCGCTCTAGTCAGTGGAAAAACAAACAGGTTCTGAAAAGGTTTGCAAGTTGAACCAACTCGGAACCAACTTTGAACCAGCACCAGTTCCGAACCAGTTCTTTTTTGTTGGAAAAGGGGTATGTCTGTACTTCCGGGGCTCTTCCCACCAGAGCCTCACTTTCGATTTCAAAATGGCAGCTAAGTGAAATCAGCGTATTAGAGCATAAAACGAATCAGTTACCTAACGTAACCTCGGTTCTCTCTAGATGAGGGAACGAGTATTGCGTAAGCTAGCTTACGCTACGGGAAAGATTCATCTTTGCTGAGAAGTTGAAGCCAAAAAATTATTCCATAATTTTGTAATCATTGTCAACGCAGTCTCTCTGATACAGACCATGAGCGGGCTAGCTAGCAGCTCATTGGTTCGCTCAGGGAGAATGCACGAACCTATGGGAGAGCGGACGGCGCTCGCTCATTGCGTCAGAGCCTGCCGAAAGGGGCGTGGCTACAGTGTATAAAAGTAGCTCTCCCAGACTCGTTCGTCGATTCTTCAGCATGAACCGAAATGCTGGTGGCGCAAGCACGGCCGGGAACGCAATACTCGTTCCCTCATCTAGAGAGAACCGAGGTTACGTTAGGTAACCGAATCGTTCTCTTACGAGAGGTTCTCTCGTATTGCGTAAGCTAGCTTACGCTACGGGAACATCTGGTCAACGCCGTGCGCGCTATGAAACCACTAAACATCCCAGGGGGAAGGAAAACCGGGGGAATCTTAAGTGGACGAAGACAATAAGGCGGCCAGCATAGCGGCCGTTATCATCTAGTGCAAAACGCCCTAAGGCGGCCGGCGTAGCGGGCCGTGAACGTATAATGCATAAGCACATAGGGGAAAACACAAGGGGCGAGCCGGTTGTGATAGAACTCCCAATAGTGCGGCTTCCTATAGGAGAGCTGTATAGTACTAGACCGCCAGAATTTTAGCCTGTAAGGCGGGAACTTCCAAGTTATAAAATCTGACAAAAGTGGAGGGGGAGGCCCATCCCGCAGCCACACAAATGTCGTGAATGGAAATTCCGCAGGACCATGCCCACGATGAGGCCATGCCTCTGGTGGAATGAGCCCTGATGCCCAGTGGGCAAGGCAGGTCTTTTGAGGCATAAGCAGAGGCAATTGCATCTACTATCCACCTGGATAGAGTCTGTTTCGAGGCGGCTAATCCCTTGGTGCGGCCACCGAACGACACAAACAGCTGCTCCGAGCGTCTGAACGCAGCAACGCGTGTAGTGTACACTCTGAGAGCCCGAACCGGGCAGAGGCGATCAGCGTCACGTTCGATATCGGATGCAGGCAGCGCCGATAGAGAGATCACTTGCGCCCTGAAGGGGGCACCAATCGCTTTCGGAACATAACCGTGTCTAGGTTTCAGAATGACGATGGAGTCATTAGGTCCAAACTCAAGGCACGCGGCGCTTGAAGACAGCACGTGAATGTCCCCCACACGTTTTACTGAGGCGCGTGCAGTCAGAAAAACGTTTTTTAGCGAGAGGTATTTTAGTTCCACGGACTCGAGTGGTTCAAACGGTGGGGCTTTTAAAGCTTCTAGGACTATAGAAAGATCCCAGACCGGCACCGTGGGGGGGCGAGGGGGGTTCATCCTTCTGGCTCCCCTGAGGAAGCGGATGATTAGCTCGTCTTTGCCCAAAGACTGGGCGCACCGGGGTTCAACGAACGCCGTGACGGCTGCCACGTAAACCTTTAGAGTGGATGGGGACCTGCCCTTATCCAGCATCTCCTGAAGGAACACGAGCAAAGACGAAACCTCGCACGTCCATGGGTCCAAATTTTTGTTGGTGCACCATCTAGAAAACACAGACCATTTAGCAGCATAGAGCTTTCTTGTAGATTCCGCTCTGGCGTGTTTGATCGTGTTCAGAACCCCTTCTAGCAATTCGACGCATAGTCGTTGGTCACCCATGCATGAAGCGCCCAGCGCTGTGGATGGGGATGCCAGATCGAGCCGCGGGCTTGAGTCAGGAGATCTGCTCTGATTGGAATGGGCCACAGGGCTGTCTGTGACAGCTGTGTAAGCTCCGGGAACCAAATCTGATTCTCCCAGCGCGGGGCTATGAGGAGCACCGAGTGGCGTGAGTCCTTGATTCTCTGAATGACCTGCGGTAGCAGAGAAATCGGGGGAAAAGCATAGAGCGGGCGGCGGGGCCAATCCTGGGCTAACGCGTCCTCGCTCTTTGAAAAGAATATCGGGCAGTGAGCGTTCTCTTCTGACGCGAAAAGATCTATCTCCGCTCTGCCGAATAGGCGCCACAATGTTTGGACTGTTTGAGTGTGCAGGGACCATTCTCCGGGGGAGACAAGGTTCCTGGACAGCATGTCTGGGCCGTCGTTCAGATGGCCCGGTACGTGCGTCGCTCTGAGAGAAAACAGGTGACTCTGGGACCACAATAGGATGCGGCGTGTCAGATCCGGGAACCAAATCTGATTCTCCCAGCGCGGGGCTATGAGGAGCACCGAGTGGCGTGACTCCCTGATTCTCTGAATGACCTGCGGTAGCAGAGAAATCGGGGGGAAAGCATAGAGCGGGCGGCGGGGCCAATCCTGGGCTAACGCGTCCTCGCTCTTTGAAAAGAATATCGGGCAGTGAGCGTTCTCTTCTGACGCGAAAAGATCTATCTCCGCTCTGCCGAATAGGCGCCACAATGTTTGGACTGTTTGAGTGTGCAGGGACCATTCTCCGGGGGAGACAAGGTTCCTGGACAGCATGTCTGGGCCGTCGTTCAGATGGCCCGGTACGTGCGTCGCTCTGAGAGAAAACAGGTGACTCTGGGACCACAATAGGATGCGGCGTGTCAGATGAAAGAGATTCTTGGATCTGACCCCGCCCTGACGGTTGATGTAAGATACCACGGCCGTATTGTCTGAGCGAATCAGGACGTGGTGACCGTGTATGCGCGGGAGGAAAAACAGCAGCGCGTTCTCGACCGCGATCATTTCCAGACAGTTTATATGTATGGAACTCTCCTGGCTCGACCACTGGCCGGCGGCCGGTGAGCCCTCGCAGACCGCACCCCAACCCGAGTTGAATGCGTCTGTCGAGAAAAGGTTCCCATGGTAACGCCCCTCTGAAACCACTCGATTACTGACCATGGCTGCAGTGCAGAGATACATGTCTGAGTAATCTTGATAATCTGGCGGCCCGTAGCCCACTCGCGGTGGGATACGCGGCTCTTTAACCAGAGTTGAAGGGGGCGCATGTGCAGAAGACCCAGCCGTAGCACAGCGGAGGCTAAGGCCATATACCCCAGCATCCTCTGAAAAGATTTCAGGGATGTGTGGGTACCCATCCGAAAAGAGGCGGCTAGACGCTGAACACGGCGCGTGCGCTGTGTGGATAAACGAGCCGTCATTGTGATCGAGTTCAAATCTATTCCAAGGAATGAAATAGTTTGACTGGGCTGGAGAGAGCTTTTTGTCCAGTTGACAGAGAGTCCCAGCGCTTTCAGATGGTTGAGGAGAACTGCGCGGTGCGACAGAAGCTCCGTCTGGGAATCTGCTAGAATCAGCCAGTCGTCCAGATAGTTTAGAATGCGCAGCCCCTGACTCCGCAGGGGAGCGAGCGCTGTATCCATGCACTTATCGATATCCATTCTTTTATGATGCTTAAAACCCACGGGGAGATGCCGGGGATGGCTTCCCACGCTTCGCAGCATGCGGCTAGCGGTTGAATGGCGATTTCGCCCTGGTTGCTGCACATAGCGGGCTGGACACTGGGTGTGGGCGCGCTTAAAATGTGAATGGCAACGGGACTTACACTCAGAGAGGAGTTTATGGGCCGTGTGACAGAGCGAGCAGAGGGGGGACACGCGCATGGGCTCGTGGGCGTGTTTATGTTCTCTGCTACTAGAGCGGATAGTGATCGCTCCGTGAGAATGGGCTCTGTGTGAGACCCGGGGCATATGGTGCTTGTGTGTATACGTGAACACATGCTTGTGGGCACATTTATTACACTTGAGGCTTTTATGCTCTTTTCGTGAACTCTCTGGGTAGCCGTGAAAACGGCTTTTAGTCGCTCGCAAGCGGGCAGGGAGACCGGCTTGTTTGTGGCGGTGAACTCTACTGTAGTCGGCGATGAGACGGGGACTAACAGAGGGCGAAGCTTTGACGGCGGCCCGGCCGCAGCGGGAGAGAGCCGTCTTTTTCTCAGCTGTGCTAGGCAGACTTCTGCTGATCAGGCTTCAGCGTGATCTTGGGTCGAGGCCCCCGGGGGGGAGGCTGTCTGCGGCGGCTGTCAGAGCGAGAGCGAGGGCGGCCGCCCTGTCTACGCTGGGGCTGCTGAGCTTGCTGAGGCGGGCGCTGATGTGGGGTTCTGGCAGGGGGCTCGTGAGAGCGGCCTGCCGAAGAGCTAGCGCGGCGGGGTAGGAACAAGTTCATGGCCTGGGTAGCTTTCTGTACCTCGGAGAAGCGGTCGAAGATGTCCCTGACGGCAGATCCGAAGAGACCGGTCGGAGAGATAGGCGCGTTGAGGAACACGGCGCATTCTGAATCTCCCATGTCGGTACACGTGAGCCACAAGTGTGTCTCTCAGCGACACAGAGGGCGGCCATGCATCTCCCCAGGGCTTGTGCGGAGGCTTTTGTGGCGCGAAGGGAAAGGTCCGTAGCGCTTCTCAGATCCGAGAGGATGGGCGGGTTCCTACCGCTGTTCGCCATTTCGCACAAGATGTCGCTCTGAAGCACTTGGAGGACTGACATAGAATGCAGCGCTGAAGCGGCCTGTCCGGCGGCAGCATAGGCGCGAGCATGAAAGTTAGAGGTCGCTCTGCACGCTTTTGAAGGAAGCGTAGGGGAAGAACGCCATCTAGCAGAGGGCGGGCAAAGATGAGCGGCGACCAGGTCCTCGATGGGCGGCATGGCAGTATAACCCTTCTCGGCGGCTCCGTCCACTGAGCGCAGCGAAGCGGACACGTCGGAGCGGTTTCGAGCCGAAAGAGGGGCAATTCCAGGACTTAGTGAGCTCGTTATGCAGCTCAGGCAGGAATGGTGCAGCCCGGCTGCAGGCGGGGGCCGGGCGCCGGTGCAGGAATTTACCATCCATACGGTTCGGTGGTTGCTCGGGGGGAGGAGACCACTCGAGACCCAGGCGGTCGACGGCCTGTGAGAGGAGACGCGTTAGTTCCTCCTCGATGCCGGCGCGGGTCCCCGCAGACTCTTTTGTCGATGAGCCAATCGACGACCAGTCCTCGCTGTCAGAAGCGTGCAGCGAACAGGAGTCCTTCTCATCCGCGGTGTCGTCGGAGGCGACAGAGCGGCCACTCGGCGGCAACTGTATGTCCGGCTGCGGAGAGGGAGAGCGGTCGGTGGGCGGCGGCGGCGGCCCACATGGATCCGCAGGGGGCTCCGGCGGCCTCTGGGAGCGGTGTTTCTTCTTCCGCTGTGAAGTTAGAGAGGCGCAGTGAGAGAGGCGCGGGGTGCAGTCGTGCCCGCAGGGAGGACAGAGGCAGGTCCTCGCATTGGTCGCATCCTCCGTTGGCGAGGGCGAGCTCTGCGTGTTCCACTCCGAGACAGAGAACGCAGATGGGGTGGCGGTCTCCTTCCTCGAGTGAAGAGCGGCATGAGCCGCAGGAAATTCGAGGCATCTTGAAAAAGACGCTCGAGCTCTTTTGTGAATGGAATAGAAAAGGATACGGCGTCGGATGGCGCTAGCTTGCTGGGCGGCTGAAGGTGGCAGACGGCCGGCTTCCTCAGTCTCCGGAGCTCACTAGAAGATGCCTTCTCGACGACAGCGGCTTCTTCCCAGGACAGCGGATGCGTGTAGCTCGCTGAATGATGAAGAATCGACGAACGAGTCTGGGAGAGCTACTTTTATACACTGTAGCCACGCCCCTTTCGGTGGGCTCTGACGCAATGAGCGAGCGCCGTCCGCTCATTTGCCGCGGGCTCAGCGCCGCTCTCCCATAGGTTCGTGCATTCTCCCTGAGCGAACCAATGAGCTGCTAGCTAGCCCGCTCATGGTCTGCCTCAGAGAGACTGCGTTGACAATGATTACAAAATTATGGAATAATTTTTTGGCTTCAACTTCTCAGCAAAGATGAATCTTTCCCGTAGCGTAAGCTAGCTTACGCAATACGAGAGAACCTCTCGTAAGAGAACCAAGTTTATTTATTTCCTGGAATTCATGTCAACACTAGTATTAGTTTTATATCACTAAGGTATCAATCATGAGGTGGACAAACAAACAAACAAACCACAACACACACACACACACACACACACATATATATATAAATATATATACATTAGGGGTGGCACGGTACATGAAAAAACACCCGAACCGTTCGGTTCGCTTGTCTCGGTTCGGAGCGCGTGTGCGTCTCACGGTTCGACGCATGCGCAATGTAACCTCGTGCCCGTATGTGACGTGTGTTTTCTTTTCGCGCGACATAAACTTGTTCGACTTGGACCGGCGCTGCACAGAGCGATCGGTGAATAACATCAATCTAGCGCGAGTCGGCTCCGTATGCATTCATCACTTTCGTGGTATTTGATGTCATTACCGATCGCTCTGTGCAGCGCCGGTTCAAGTTAATAAACAAGCCAGTAAAAGTGGAGTATGGAGCGCTGCAGGTCACGGCACGCGGAGAAATGGCAAGTGGGAGAGATGAGGGAGTTGGAGGATGCGCCAGCGTCGTATAAGTCTATGGTATAAGTCCGGTGTGTGGGAACATTTTGGATTTCATGTTATGATATTTTAATTTAACTACAGTGGCACTTTATGTATAGATAAGAGCTTCGGTCATACGTTTCCAAACCCTGCACTTTAATTTTAAGTGGAAAAAAGTACCCTCACATTTTGGGAATAGAAGCATTGTTGATACTGTTTTTGTGTTGAGGTTGAACTTCAATTTCACTTTATGTTTATGGCCTTTGCTAAATTGCTATTGCTATAGCTTAATTATCTATAGGCAATGAGGTTTCATGTATATTGACATTTAAAAGACAGTGTTTTAAGAGTTCCTCTCTTTTTCTTTTAAAAGATAGAATTTTGGTAAGAGCTACAAAAGTTAGCAGTTGATACATGAAAGTTAATTTCTTTGTGTAAATAAGATTTATGTGATAAAAATGCACAAGTTCTTGTAGAGATAGTGATACACATTCTCCTTTTTTTGCCAAATAAACAAAAAGCATGTCAATTTCTTCTCTCTTGCTGTATCTAAATCTCACCTAGCTTTCCTCTGAGATAGTCCCAAAATGTGCTTAAAGTCAAAGAGTCAAATTCAGTTTGTGCATGATTGCATGAATAATATATATATTTTTTTAATACTGTATCCTAAAGTGTGGATAATTAAGCTATATATCACATGCTGAAGTACATTTCTGGAGTGTTAAAGATTAAAAGAAAAAATAACAAGAACCGTACAGAACCGAAAACCGTGACCCTAAAACCGTGATACAAACCGAACCGTGGGTTTTGTGAACCGTGCCACCCCTAATATATATATATATATATTTATGACTAAATTGTCCCAACTGGAAAATTCCATTTTCCCTTAAATGCTTTATTTGTAAATTATTCAATTAATAAATACCCTCCCCCCCACCTTAAAATATTCAATCATTCATATTCAATGTGCCTTAAAATGTGACATATTAAAATGTTTTGTTAGACACTGACCCCATTTCATATTGTCTGCAGCAGGCTTCTCTGAAGTCTGTAACTGGGGAAAGTTCTGAGTGTATCGGCTGGCCATTAAACCACCGATTATTCAAGTCCAATACAGCCTTCTCAGCATCCTCTTCCCGCCGAAACTTTTAAGACAATAAAACAATAGAAAAGGTTAAACCTTTCCTTTCCTAGTCTAATTTGAACGCAGGCTGTTACAGTTCCATTGTTTGAAATACTGAAATTAGATATTCTATAGTGGTCTTTTAATCAAGCAAATGTCACAAAACATTAATAAATAATTTCAAGTCTACCTTTACATAAACATTTCCAACCAAATGATCACCAAGATTATCACACACATTCATCTCCTCGACCTCTCCGTACTTCTCCTCCATTTCTGTAAAGACTTCCTGTTGAAATCATAAACAATCAGGATTACAAAATGTAGTAACTATTTCAAGGGATAGTTCATCCAAATATGAAATTCAGCCATCATTTATTCTCTCATGTTGTTTAAACCTAAATTAATTACTTTCTTCTTTGTAACACAAAAGAAGATATTTTGGAAAATAATATCTAATATTCTTTAAATTGTCTACTTTTTTTGTTCCACAGAATAAATAGTCTTTTTTTCAGATTTGGAAGGACATGAATGAGAGTAAATATGATTACAGTTTATTTTTGGGTGAATGCTCACTTTCATTTAACAACTGATTCTTATTAATAGTAAGTATTATGGTGTATTATAAGCACAACATAAAAAATATTGACATCAAAAAATTAAAATGATGTAAAAAGATGATTATGAAAAAATAAACTGAGGAATATCTACTGTAAATTGTGCCACTCAGACCCCCACAACTAAAAACCTTGGGTTGCCAGGATTTCTCAATCACCCAACCAGCATGGCTTTTAATGGCTTCATCTAAAGCCAAGTTCACACTACAGGATTTTAAGCCTGATTTAAGCCCGATTTGCAAATCGTTGAGTTCGCCGACAGGTCAGGGTGAAATTGCGTGCAAATCACGGGGGATTAGCAGTCGATGAACGCTCGCCAATCTGTTAGTATGAAAGAGCCAACAACGCAGCGAAGACGCTCGCAGACGCCTTGCAGACGCGTCGCCAAGCCCAGAAAAATATCTAGCATGCTAGATATCCAGAGCTGTCGCACGACTCAACCTCAGTGATGTCATGAGCTACAGCCAATCATAGCAAGGCATGGGTTGAGGTCACCGAGTAAATCTTATTTTTTCTTTTTTTGCATTTTTTTCTCAGAGTAAATCATCGCGCAAACAGTGTGCAGCACTGGTTTCTGTCTGACGTCCATATTGGCGTGTTGTTTTCTCTTCTTCGCTGGGTATTGGCACACGTGCTGTTTCGCGCCATTTCTGGTTCGTTTTATTGCGTTATTTTTCGTAGCAAGACGTGGTTTGTTGACAAGATAGAATCGTTGGGTGACAGTTGTTGTCAACTCGTTATTTATTTGATTATTTTCAGGATTTAGACCAGGGGTTTGAAACTCAACTTAACTGGGGGCCGCTGGAGATAGAGTCTGGGTTAGGCCGGGCCGCATCAAGTATTCCAAAAAAAAAAAAAAAAAAAAAAAATTGTATTTAAGTGTTCCAAAAATGGAGCACAACTGATCCAATCTTCTCAATCTTTATTATTAACGTTTCTTCTGAACTGTTCCTCTGAATTTGAACATTCCTTTCTGTACATGATTGGTTCTTCATGAGCTGTCCTTCTGACAATTGAAGTTAATTTTACAAACTTTCTTTGTCTTTTTCTTATACACAACATCTTTGTGATGGTCATATTTGCTTTTTATTTTCTTTATACAACAATATTATATTGAATGTTTTTTTTTTTTAGAAGGCACATTTCCTTTTATTATACTTAGAAAAACAATTATTGATTTTGAAATGCAAATAATTCTTTCTACACATGTATAGTGTCTCAGGCAAATTACTGACTTTGCACATATCAAAGCAAACTTTCTTATCAACCAGTTGGACAGTTCATTATATTAACTAGTTAAAAGTTCAGTTCACAAATGTTAAAATGAACTAGTTCAGTTCATATATCAAAAATGAACTAGTTCATAGTTCTTTTTTCCATATGTTGCTGCGAGCTTCTTTTTTATTATTAGGCTATTATTATTGCCACAGCCCATATACAACCGTGCAGATAACAATTATTTTATCGACGGGCAAAGTTTACACAGACATGCAAGATTTTCCCATCCTCACCGACCTCATAAAACCCTTTTAAATGATCTTACGACGCTAGGGCTGTCGCGATAACCGCAATATAGTAGTACCGCGCTTCTGACATGCCAACCGCAGATGATTGCACGTAACCGCAGCAACCGCGATATTCACGTTTTTTTTTATAAGGCTATACCCTTCTTGTTTTGAACTTCATGTATGTGTATTGAATGTTAAACAAGTTCATAATGATAACAAGACTGTTATTCTTGATTATGTGTAGCCTACGGATGCCTCACAGACAGTCAGTGAATGAGATAGATCAGCAGAGCGCGTGCGATTACCTGCATCTGTCTTTGAAGTCGTGAAAAGATTGCCGTGTCAAAGGAAAGCGAAATATTTGTCGTATCATCATTTTAACGTTCATGTTGCGGGTATTTCCCATAAATGTGCGTCAGCAGCAGCGCTGGTCAGCATCCCACAGCACGTGGAAGCCGCGGGGAAATAAAATCAGCAAGCCATGCATTGAATCAATGCCATATTGGTCTCTCTCTAATAAGTGAAGCATCAGCTTCAGCGTTGCCCATGCGACGCATTGCTGCTCAGCTGAGCCTTGAAAAGTGGAACTCAATGTTCAAAATAATTAACACCTTGTTTCATTACATCTCACTCTTTTAATGAATAAACTTTTTATAACGTGTTCGTTGAATGAACGGTTTAATGACTCACTCAAAATCTGTTGTCATAACAATGTGCGCGCCTATGGTGTGCGCTGAGTGAAAGCCTTTCAATGCGCATATCTATAGATGCTGTTCAGTTTCGGTTACTTGTCCTCATCGTAAACTTATTTATATAGCAACAAATACATCTAAATTAAATAAATAAATGGCAGTAATACCGCATATCGCGCTATTGAGCCACTCAACATTACCGCAAGGGAAATTCCATAACCGTGACAGCCCTATACGACGCCTCCTCGCTCCTCGGTTCACAGACACTAGAATGAACGAGTAATGTTCATCAGGCAGTAATACGTAGGCTACATTCAGTTCACGTTCGCCCAAAATATGAACGAGTTCATGAACTATCATTCATTGAACACGTTCAGACACAACACATATTACAAGCTCAAAATTATTCTCACATTGTTTTAGAGCAGGGGTATCCAACACGTCGCTCGCGAGCTAACAGTAGCTGTGGCCTGATTTGGTGGTGGTAGCTCAGATATTTTGCACGCTCAAGTACGTCAAGTACTGGAGGCAGCTGACGGGTACCGACAGGCCAAGCGGACTGCGGCCCGGGTGGTCGTGGAAGCAAAAACTCGGGCCTGGGAAGAGTTCGGTGAGGCCATGGAGAAGGACTATCGGCTGGCCTCGAAGAGATTCTGGCAAACTGTCCAGCGCCTCAGGAGAGGGAAACAGTCCCCTACCAATGTTGTTTACAGTAGGGGTGGGCAGCTGTTGACCTCGACTGGGGATGTCGTCGGACGGTGGAAGGAATACTTCAAGGACCTCCTCAATCCCGCCGTCACGTCTTCCATTGAGGAGGGCTCAGAGGTGGACTCGTCCATCACCCTAGCTGAGGTCACCGAGGTAGTCAAGAAAATGAGCTTTCTCCGCAGGGTGGCTGGGCGATCCCTTAGAGATATGGTGAGAAGCTCAGTCACTCGGGAGGAGCTCAGAGCCGCTGCTCCTCCACATCGAGAGGGGTCAGCTGAGGTGGCTTGGGCATCTGTTCCGGATGCCTCCTGGACGCCTCCCTGGGGAGGTGTTCTGGGCGCGTCCCACTGGGCGGAGGCCCCGGGGAAGACCTAGGACACGCTGGAGAGACTATAGCCGCTTTCCGACCAAGTAGTTACAGGAACTTAGTTATAGGAACTGTCCACTTTTAAACAGATCTAAGAACTACTCTCCCCCAAACTCGGTTTTGCTGCTTGCGTTCGCACTGGCCAAGTGGCTACAGGAACTGGTAGGACGCAAGCACGGCGATGGTCTTTATAGCGTCAGCAGTTCACTAGACGTAGCATTCCTAGAAGTGTTCCTGGTTCCTGTTCTGCCTTGCCGGGACCTTAATAACGGAGATCGAACGGCGGCGTTTAAAGATTATGCTTCAGTTCTGTACATAGAAACACAGAAGACGAAGGCTCCAGCGTAATATGATATTAAGTAATATGATGGAAGAAGATAAAAGAGCAGAGCGCAGGAGGCAAACAAAACGACGGGTAAGTTTAGCTATTATTAGCAATCAGCTGGTTGAATGCGTTATGTTTGTCTTAATCCTCGTTGTAATGTTTTGCAAAAACACACAGCGTATATGGCAGACAGCGCGCTACAAGTTCCGTGTTGACGGTGGGCTTATAAGTTGAACCAATCAACGTAGACCTAGGGAAAGGGAACTAAAAAAGTCCTTGCTCTAGACTAGGTACTGAAAGAGTTATAGGAACTACGGTCTGAGGAACTAAAAAAAATCCCCAATTTAGTCCGGTCGGAACACGAGAAAAAAAGGGTTGTAGGAACGTTAGGTTCTAGGAACTGCAAAAGTCCCTCCGGTTGGAAAGCGGCTTATGTCTCCCGGCTGGCCTGGGAACACCTCGATGTACCCCCAGAAGAGCTGGAGGAAGTGTCTAGGGAGAGGGAAGTCTGGCCATCTCTGCTTAGACTGCTGCCCCCGTGACCCGGCCCCGGATGAGCGGAAGAAGATGGATGGATAGAAGTACGTTTCAAATGTAGGCGCGCATCAAGCACCGAGCACGCTCATAATCGAAACGACGCGCTAATTTTTTCCAGGCGCAGTATATGTTTGTACTTCGTGGTTGTCTATGACAACTATTGACAACAAACCCACCGTAAGCTGTCACGAGACTATCTATGGTAGCCCATAAGGAATTAAAAAAAAAAAAAAACATGGAACACACAACGACTGGCCGCACTAACATTAAACTTTAATGTCAAGTAGGGGGCCACAAAATATCATCCCGCGGGCCGCAAATGGCCCGGGGGCCGCGAGTTTGAGATCTCTGATTTAGACTGTACCATAGTACTGAAACAGCTCTCATTAAGAGTCACAAATGATTTGCTCTTATCATCCGATCGTGGTTGTATCTCTATGTAGTGCATTTACAAATCGTGCAGTGCGTTACCTCCTGTTGCGGATCAATCACGTTGTGTTGTGTGGTGTGAACAGCTAAACAACTTGACACTCCTAATTTCACAGAGAGCAAGTCATGTAGTGTGAACCGCACAGTTCAGCCCGACGTTTTAAAATCATGTAGTGTGAACAAGGCTTAAAGGATTAGTTCACTTTTGAAAAAACTTTTGCTGAAAATGTACTCACCCCCATGTCATCCAAGATGTCCATGTCTTTCTTTCCTCAGTCGAAAAGAAATTAAGGTTTTTGATGAAAACATTCCAGGATTTTTCTCCATATAATGGGAACCAGACGGTCCAAGGTCGAAAAGAGAGTTAATAACAGTTTCAGATGCAGCTTCAAATGTCTTTAAACGACACCAGACGATGAATAAGGGTCTTATCATGCGAAACGATCGGTTATTTCAAAACTTATTCCAAAAATGTAACTTTTCTAAGGACAAATGCTAACCTTGCTCTATTTTGTGAGGCGTGTAATACGTAATTACGTTCAAAAGGTCACGGGCGACGTAGCCGGAAGTACAGAGTCAGTGTTTACAAGTTGAACGCATAGGTTGAACGTGCAAACTAACTCAAACGCCGTTTACAAAAAAATGAATTAAAAGGTAAAACAACGATGTCGGACGATTTTGATTCTATACTTCCGGCTACGTCGCCCGTGACCTTTTGAACGTAATTACGTATTACGTGACGTTACAAACACGCCTCACAGAATAGAGCAAGGCTAGCATTTGTCCTTAGAAAAGTTACATTTTTGGAATAAGTTTTGAAATAACCGATCGTTTCGCATGATAAGACCCTTATTCATCGTCTGGTGTCGTTTAAAGACATTTGAAGCTGCATCTGAAACTGTTATTAACTCTCTTTTCGACCTTGGACCGTCTGGTTCCCATGTAAGTCCATTATATGGAGAAAAATCCTGGAATGTTTTCATCAAAAACCTTAATTTCTTTTCGACTGAGGAAAGAAAGACATGGACATCTTGGATGACATGGGGGTGAGTAAATTATCAGCAAAAGTCTTTTCAAAAGTGAACTAATCCTTTAAGTGTAAATATTAGCCTTGGGACATCACATTAAGTAGATGTTAGATGTGCACATTAATAGAAAATGTGTAGTTTACTCATGAGTGGTATTTTTCACCCTCAGAACATCAAGTCATTTTTAAATCCAGTCCACCAGTCTAATGAAGCCAAAAAGCTCATCCATGATGAAAACTCACCTCGAAAAACTCGTCATAATGCTCCTGCATTTCCACATCACTAACAGCACCTAGCAAAAAAATGTTATAATACAATTAGAACACAGAAAATTGTATCAATTGTATCAATCTTAGAGCAAGATATTTTGATATATAGCCGCCATTTTATGCAAATAAGTAATAAAATTATAGATGAGCTGGCCCACCATACAACTGGATATATGATTCTGTTGTTCATCCGACTTGATATTAAATTTACTATGGCACATACTTATTATTTGTTAAACATTTTGAACTGAGAATTCAGAGAGGAAACAATGTCAGGCACATTAAGCCTTAGTATTTATTAAATGATAATAATAATAATGCAGGTCAAAGCCAGGCCTTGTTCCCTTGATAAACAACTTTACATCTCATTTTTAATGACTTTACATCACATAGGTCTCACTGTTATACATTACTCATACAATTCCCAAACAAATGCTTTTAAGTGTGACACATACTTAAGGGATAAAGTGTCTGCAAAATCTAAATCCTGGAATAAATACACCTTCATTATACCTCTAAACATATGGCCATGGAACAACAACTAAAGGATTTTAAAAGTATTTGTGAAAAGCGTATTTTCAAAAACTAGTTTCTGAAAAGGGATTACATAATTTAACACTGTAAAGGATGCGTTTGAAATGTGCAAGTGGTAAAGAAATGATCAATGCCGCAGACTCCTGCAAGCGAGTGGGGGGACAACTTACAGTGTAAACCATCAGCAGACTGGGCAGAGTTTTGAGGGTTACGGTATATGTTCATGAGGACAATAGTCTGAAATACAAAATGTGCATTTTTGAAAGACAAACTATAAGACTGTTTAGCATCCAGGTCTATAGACCACATGGGATGACATTGTCAACATTATAAATAAGGCAGAAAATGAAAACAAGTAAATTGGGAAAAGTGGGGTCAGCAGGACAGGTCCGAGATCCATCCAAAATGAGGAGAACCTGTACGTAAAGGTCTCAAGCCTTTGTTGAAGCAGAAGACTATCTTCTGTAAACAATAAATATGTACATTTTAAACAAGGACTCTAAATAAACTCATGCAGATCATATATATATATATATACATACATACATACACATATATATATATATATATATATATATAATATATATATACACATACATACATATATATATATATATATATATATACACATACATACATATATATATATATATATATATATATATATACATATATATATATATATATATATATATATATATATATATATATATATATATATATATACTGTATATATATATATATAGTGTTTATATATTTGTGCCCAAATGTACTTTTATGTACTGTTTTTTTTGTTGAATAGATATTTCTAAAATTGAATGATGTTTTTGTTGATTTATTATTACACAATTCTTTTTTTTGACCTATTTGAATCTTGCCCCTGACAAATAACCCTAAATACAAAAAAAAAACTAAAACTAACACTAAAACTAATAAAAACTAAACTAAAACTAAGCATTTTCAAAAAATAAAAACTAAACTAAACTAGCAAACCAACTTTAAAAACTAATTAAAACTAAACTGAATTTGAAAACCAAAGTTCAAAACGAAATAAAAATAAAAACTAATGAAAAATGCAAAACTATAATAACCTTGGAGTGTACACAAATATAGTTTATAAATATAGTTATATAGTTTGCAGTAGGGGTGGGCGATATAGCCTAAAAATTATATCACGATATTTCAAGAATATTTGCGATAATGATATTTATCACGATATAGAAAAAATATATATGAAACAATGTTTTATTGGTGATTGCAGCTGGCTGGCAGCAGCATTAGTGCAAAAAAAAAAGTATAACATAACTCCTTATCATTTTATTTTAACAATAACTACAGTAATACATTAACAATATTAACAATAACTTCAGAAGCCTGCACAATATTGTCACCTAATAAAATTTACTTAAACTTTGAAGTACAAAAAATTTAAACAAACAGCGGCAATCCAAACAAACCTTCAAAATGTAACAGTTGCCTTGCTTAGTTTTTGGATTAGCATCAAATGAGGTATACAATACCTAATTTATACAATAATTGTATAAAATCGGAACATTTAGGGAAAAAACATTTAGTGGGGAATAAATAAGAGACAATTGTAACACTAAATCTGGTAAAACTTTACACTTTGTATTGTACATTCATGAAAAAAAAAAACAAGGTAACAAATCAAAAGGATTAATTATTATATAGCCTAGTCTACTATAAAATTGAGGCATGTTTAAAATGTATAGCACAGCTGTTTAATGAGGCAGCAACATATGATCGATAGGACAGAACAAAGGCTATTAATAATCTTTCATTGCGCAAAAGTATTATGATATGAAAGGCTCCAATATATCGCACAGCGCTTATGCGCATCCCGAGTGCTGAATGATGCGCTTGAAGCAACACGGAGTCACAGCGCGCACGCGCAGCGCGTCGAATACTCCGCACTGAACAGTTCAAAGCACAAAGGAAATAAATATTGATGCGTAGCGTCGTGTATAATATACAGCATCTAGCTATGCAATCGTTTATTGAGTCCTTTCTTTTAACAGTTTTACATTTCAGTTACTGTGGGCGTGATGAACAATAGTGCTCTGACTCTAGTGTTTTGCTCTAACAGACACCCGGCCGGTAGAAAGTAACATGATGATTTAGTTAACGTTACAGCAATAAAGTCCAGCAAGATAAAGTTGTGTTATGCGAAACCATAGACCTTTTTTTTACAAATATAATAATAGTAACATTGAATCATCTTAGAAAGCGTTTAATCGTGTTGACTGTTGTACCCGAACTGCGGAAACTCTGAAGGAAGATTAGGCGAATGCAAAATGTACGCTAGTAGGGAAGTGGTGAAACGAGTTTTCATGCATATTTGACAAAAAAAAAAAAAAAAATTGTGTTGTTTGAGATCTGACCTCTTGTACTCAAACAACTTCCATACTATTGAAGTAGCGCCCTTTTTAGGAACTAAATCTTGATCTGATCCAGAGGCTGACATGCTGCTGTGTTGTTGTGCACACGCTAAGTAACGTAAATACGCCACACGTCATCATATCATCAATATCGCGATATGACAATTTTTTATCATGTCAAATTTTATACCGGTATTATCGTGGACGGTATGATATGGCACAGCCCTAGTTTGCAGTCTGTTGTCCTGTATGAACAAATAACGGATTATGTTTCCACTGTTCACACACACACACACACTCAGTTCAATCACACCTCCCTCCCCCTTCTCTCTCTCTCTCTCTCACACACACACACACACACACATACACACACTTTCTGCGAGGCAGCGGCTTCAGAAGTGCGCGCGCTCAGAGGGAACTTCAACACACACTTCGACGTGCGCGCCTCTCTCTCTCGTGCGCACATACACACACTCCAGCTTGAGAGAGAGAGAGGCGCGCGCGTCGAAGTGTGTGTTTGTGTGCGTGTGTTAAAGTTCCCTCTGAGCTCGTGCACTTCTGAAGCCGCTGCCGCGCAGAAAATAAGAAAATACCACGCAGAGGACTGACGCGAAATGTGTGGAAATCCATTTGATTGTAGTTTAATTGAGAAATAATTTCAGTGCTCTGGTCAACCGCTATAGAGTGAAAACTGATTAAAGTGGTGGAAATAATGGTTGATGGACACAGAACAGTAACAATTACACACCCACCCGCGTGAAGTCAAAATACATCATTAGTTTAAATCGATGTTTTTGTGTGTGTGTGGGGGGGGGGGGAGTTTTAGGTATGATTACTATTAAAGAGTTCGAATATTCACTTTTCTTGAAAATATTTGGCAATTAGATTTATTTAAATGCTCAGTTTGTTTTCAAATTATAATAATATAATATGTCCACAAATTGAAGTATTTAAACTGATATATTATATCACTTCAAATACTTCAATTCGTTTTTTTTATATTATATTAGGCCTCTTTTGTATTATATTATGAGCCTAAATAAAGAATCTAACAAAGGTATTGTTTAGGTTATATTAGGCCTATTTTGTTATATTTTAAGGCTAAATAAAGAACCTCACAAGGGTATTGTTTAGGGCTCATTGCCATTAAAAAGTTTGAAACCCCTTGCTAAAGAAAATATTGGAAATTCATAAGCAACAAACAATCATTTAACTTCGATGGTTTAATGCTTCCTGTACACAATTCATTGACTGTAAATACTTTATGGTTTTCCCAAACCATCTCAGTGTAACAGCTTACTTTTCTTTCTTACTATATTCTTTTATTGTAAAGAATTGAAGTGTCCTGCAAAAGATTTTGTAAATTTATTTTTCATAGTATTTATTGGTAAAGACTGTACAGTTAACAGCACTGGAAAAAAATATCAGATAACCTAAAATGTGCTTGTTTTTCACAAATATGATTTAATACCAATACGTTAAATTAAGGGTCAAATAAAATATAAATGGCACATTCAAGTTAAAAGTTACAAATGAATGTTGAAACCATTGTCTCTAAATATGATGTACAGGTCAGGTATAAAGAATATTTTTGATCAGGTGGTGAAAAAATAGAAAAAAAATTAAAGCTGCAAGCAGCGATGGGCGGGCCCTCGCACCTGTAGCGCGTCGGGGTGTGAGGCGGCTGCGTTGCATATTCTGCAGCTCAGCCAGTGCGGCTGTGCATTTGCTACGCTGCTTCGTTAAAGGTCACTTCCTGTTGCCAGCAGGTGGCACTATGACTGTGGGTGAATGTCGGCATGTAGATTTGTTCAACGCGGGACTCTTGTCAAATGTGTAAAATTTCGTGCAGATCTGGGCATTTACAGCCAAGTTACTACAACTTCCTGTTTCATGGCGAATCTTCGACGCCACGGACACGCCCATCGACGAAAACGCACAGATAGCACAACTTTACATCGTCAATGCCTTTAGAAGGCACATCAGAAATGTGATGTCGATCCGACTAAAGCCCTAGGAGGAGTTAGTTAAAGTACGTAATGAGTAAATCATCCAAAAATGGCGGTAAAATTAGAAATGGCTGACTTCCTGTTGAGTTTAGGGCATCGCTCCAAGAGACTTTTCTGTGCGTCTGGACATGGTAGATGTACCAAGAAATTTCGTACATGTCGGTCAAACATGCGACGGGGGCTGCTTCGTTAAATGTCACTTCCTCTTGCCACTAGGTGGCGCTATGAATGTGGGTGAATGTCGGCATGTAGATTTGTTCAGGGCGGGACTCTTGTCAAATGTGTAAAATTTCGTGTAGATCTGGGCATTTACAGCCAAGTTACTACAACTTCCTGTTTCATGGCGAATCATCGACGCCACGGACACGCCCATCGACGAAAACGCGCAGATAGCACAACTTTACATCGTCAATGCCTTTAGAAGGTACAACAGAAATTTGAAGTTGATCCGACTAAATCCCTAGGAGGAGTTCGTTAAAGTACGGAGTGTGTAAATCGTCCCAAATCGGTCGCCGAATTCAAAATGGCGGACTTCCTGTCGAGTTTAGGGTATGGGTTCTTGAGGCTTTTTTGTGCGTCTGGTCATGGTAGATGTACCACAGAAATTTCGTACATGTCGGTCAAACAAGCGGCGGGGGCTGCTTCGTTAAAGGTCACTTCCTGTTGCCAGCAGGTGGCGCTATGACTGTGGGTGAATGTCGGCATGTAGATTTGTTCAGGGCGGGACTCTTGTCAAATGTGTCAAATTTCGTGCAGATCTGGGCATTTACAGCCAAGTTAGTACAACTTCCTGTTTCATGGCGAATCTTCGGCGCCACGGACAGTTTAGGGTATGGGTTCTTGAGGCTTTTTTGTGCGTCTTGATATGATACACGTCCCCACCAAATTTCGTGCATGTAGGTTGAACGTGGACGAGGGGCTAATTTTTTCCAATTTTCTAGGTGGCGCTAGCGTGCCA